CAGGGTATGGAGCCTCAACCCCCCTGATGGGCCCTGCTCTGTGCGTGACAGGGGGTGGCGCTGAACCCTCCCCATCGAACCTGCCTTGAGTGTGACAGGGCGCGGTGCCCCAACCCCCCAATCGGCCCTACCCTGAGCATGACTGAGGGTGGCATCGCAACCTCCAGATCCGCCCTGCTCTGTGCATGACGGGGCAGCGCCCCAACTCCCCAATCAGCCCTGATCTGAGCCCCACCAGGGGCTGCACCTAGGGATTGGGCCTGCCCTCTGCCACCCGGGAGCAGGCCTAAGCCAGCAGGTCGTTATCTCCCAAGGGGTCCCAGACTGCGAGAGGGCACAGGCCGGGCTGGGGGACCCCCCTCCCCTCCCAAGTGCACAAATTTTTGTGCACCGGGCCTCTAGTAGAATATAATGTTACTGAATGTCAGAATCATTCATTCACTAAATATACTGTTGACCAGGCACCATTCCTGTGTCTATGTATATATGTGTGGAGGGGGAGAGAGGAGAATACAGTTGCAAACAAAATGGAAATCTCTCTGCTCTCCTGGATGTTATAATTTAGTAGCCTGATGCAGGAAGATTCATGCAAGAACGGGTCTTCCTTCCCCTGGCTGCCAGCACCGCCTTCGCTCTGGCCAGAGCTGCTTTTCCACCTTCGCCCGGAGCCGGAGCCACCTTTCTGCCTTCCCACACTGCCCAGAGGCCCGGAGCGGCTGGGGCAGTGAGGAATGCTGGCGTCCCACCCTGCCCCTAGCCGCTTGGGGCCTGCTATGCAAATTAACCCGCCATCTTTGTTGGGTTAATTTGCATACTCACTCCTGATTGGCTGTTGGGCATTGTGAAGGTACGGTCAATTTGCATCTTTCTCTTTTATTAGTGTAGATGGGGAAAAGAGTCAATGGAACAAATAGAAATCCTGCCAACATAAATAATTCAGAAAAAAAATTACATATAAGAATTCAGGATAAGAAAAAAGTGAAATTCAGGTCAGTGAAGAAAGGATGGATTATTCAATAACTTGGAATAAGGGCTTAACGTTTGGAAAAGAAAAAAATTTGCACATAAAAATGCAACTAAAGAACTAGAAGACAATGCAGGTGAGCATTTTTGTGATGATAAAGGACTAGGTGGCCTAATGATGCCAAAGGCCCAAATATGAAGGGAAGGTTTTCTTGTCTGACCACATGAAAATATGACATATGTGCACAGTAAGGAAACACTTGTGCATCAGATAGAAAATTTTAAGACAAAAAGCAAATTGCATAAAATAATCATTAATATTCAAAATGCAAATTTAAACAACCCTATCATTTGCACGTCTCCAAAAGTTAGAGAATAGTTAAGTAATACCCAGGTTTGGGGTGGATCATTCTGGCTCAATTACATTGCAAATTTTTTTTTTTTTTTAAATTTTAATAATAATTTTTATTTCTTAAAGTATTACAAATAGTATTACATATGTCTCCTTTTTTCCCCCCCTTGACATTCCCCCGACCCCTACCCCCTGCCCCCCCCCCGGGTTTAGGGTCCATTGGGTTAACCTTTTATGAATGCATATAAGTTCTGTAGTTGGTCTCTTAATCCCCCCCCCAACAGTCCCCAGAGCTCCCAATGGAAGTTAACACTCTGTTCACCGTTGATCTGGTTCTGTATATTACCCTGTACATTAGTACCACCTGGGACCCTTTTATGTCCAAACCTCACTGGAGTAGGCTCCACCTACCCCAGAGCGTCTGAGACTCATAAGAACGGTGTCAACCTCACCGGGGCCCTCCCTACCTCACGGGGGCGGTTTCAACTCAACCTGGGTTGTTCCTTATCACACCTGGGGCCGTTTC